GTTCTGCCGTGCTCATCATCCCGCCTCCCGCGGGTCCAACTGCCCCCCTCCCCCCCCGTTATGTCGTTGTCGTGCACTCGCCAACGAAGGTGGCGTCGTGTCTCCTGCGAATCGACACATCCACCTCCCAGTTCCTCCCGGCGGGCTGGCTCTACCTGCCGGGGACGCCTTACCGGGGCTCCACGATGGTGCCCTCATTACCGGGGTGCCTGTCGGCATCGTTCTGCCGACTGGATTTGCCTGGATCTGGGGTCGTCTCTTACTGCACTGCCCATCGCTATTAGCGGCTGCTCTGCGACTTGTCCCGTGAAGGTTGTGGCCGGGGATGGGAGAAATCCATGGTTGGCCAGCAGCTGCTGGCCGAGATAGCGGCGGTGCTCCACGTCATTTCAATCTTGGTGGCGTTGTCTTCATCCCCTGGTCTCGCGATGTCTTGGGTGTGCTCTGGGGCATTGTTTGCTTGGTGTTGCTCTTCGACTGTGCCGATGTCGCATAGGTGTCGTGGCACCGCCTCGGCCTAACGTGACCTTTCGAATGTACCCCATGACACTGATGGTGTCGTGGCATTGCACAGTCTCGGTTGGCCAACGCCTTTAGATTTGGTCGACGGTGCAGTGTCATGGTTTGGTCTTGACGGACTGTTACAGTTCGATTGTTTGAGTGCCCGGGGTGCCCCCTGTGTTGTGTTGTGTCCCCCCTCGCCATGTGTGTGTGTGTGTGTGTGCGCGCGCGCGCTTTATCTCTTCTACTTGTTCCCTTTTTGTTTCTAGTTCACTTGAACCCTGTCTTGCATAAGGCTGCAAAGCCTATAGGCAAAAATGAATACAATTTAGTTGGGAGAAAACTTTCCTCCATACTGAAAATTAAAAAAAAAACAAGGATCATAAGGTTCGGGTCCATCCTTGCCGCCTCTCCACCGCGTCAAACAGGAGCCGCCATCGCCGCTGGCACGTAAAGCAGGAGCCCTCCCCCTCCCCCCCAGAACATCATCGTTCAAATTAGACACCGCATTAAGAATAAGGTCCGGACGAGCCGCCCTTCCCGCCACGCAGCACATTCGGTCAGTTCGACCTGCTTGTGTCAAAGATGCGCTGCATCTGACCCGGCAAGGACGTGAAGGGGGAGGAGGAAGAAGAGGGGCCACTAGTAGAAAAAGGACCTAATGTGAGACACATCAGTCCCGGTTTGATTTCGGCCCGGTACTAATGGTACCATTAGTGCCGGTTCAAACGGCTATGCATTAATGCCGGTTCGTTTTGACCCTTTAGTACCGGTTCATGCCAAAAACCGGTACTAAAGGGGTGGTGGCAGGCTGGCGTCAGGCCGGGGCCCCGCGATCACCTTTAGTACCGGTTCGTGGCACAAACGGTACTAAAGGTTTAGCCCTTTAGTACCAGTTCGTGCCACGAACCAGTACTAAAGTGGTTTGACCTATAGTCCCGGTTGGAGACACAAACCGGGACTATAGGGCAATTTTCAAACTCTACCCCCCCCCCATGTATCGCCATTTTAGTTTTGAAAAATACAAATAAAATGATAAAAAATTCAAAAAATAAAATTCTTCGAGATGTAGTTATATTACTACATCTACTAGTTAGGAAAATTCAAAAACTTAAATTTGGACATGTTTTGCAAA